AGTCCATGCCCACATGCAGCAAGACCTGGGTAACATGCAGGTTAGAGCTGGTAACATAGGATTAAGGCACACGGAACATAGAAACCTTGCAGTACAGTGTCCTCTATTCCACCAACATCAAACTATTAAGTGACACTATTCCTAATAAGGTTAAGTTAAATAAATGATTTTCTTTTACAATAGACCCATGAGAAAACCATTGAGTGCCTCTCCTGATCATGAAACATTCAGTAGCAAGGTTGTTTGCAGAACAGTGGGACTCTTAACGTCTTGTGTCTAGCACAGCACAAGCTAGTGATTAAAGCAAAGAAACAAGGTTGGGAGCCATTGCTGTCATGGGACTCATTATTAATTCCCCTCAACCGTAAGAGCCAGATTAGCCTGCCATCCAGACCAAACAAATGTCTTCTTCACCTTTTTCAGGTGTGGGGATGATGTGCTTTCAGACAAACTGTTTCTTTAAGGAAGAACCTCATATGGCCCAGGTCAAAAGTAGGGAATCATTTGTTCATTGGTTTACAGTTTTATGGCTCAGATTAAGTTTACAAATGTGAAACTGTTCTGAGATAAATGTTTTTAAATCATTTAGATTTATAACTTTTACACAGGCCGAAGTTTAGAACTTTGGAACTCGTTGGCGTTACGTTATCTTAGGAGAGATCAATGGAGTTGGCAAGAGAGACAAGCTGTTACAAAAAAGAAATGATCTGCAAAAGTGATTGGCTCAAAAGAATGAGTCAGGAGACAGCAGGAAGTGATGCTACTAAAATGAACCTTGGTTTCCTTTAAAAGTAATCAGGAATTGGGCAGTCACTAACTAGCCAATCCAAGATTGGCTGTGAACCCTGAAGAAGGGTCCCAACCCGAAACGTCAACTTTCCTGTTCCTCTGATGCTGCCTGGCCTGCTGTGTTCCTCCAGCTCCACACTGTTATCTTTGCTTTTATATAGTATTTTGTCTTGGATTACATGCTGAGGGATGCATCGAAGCTTGGGGCAGCTGCTGCTATGCTGCTGTGGGGAAAGACCAATCGGAGATCTCTCTACTGATGTTAACTGGTGGTCCATTCAGATATTGGACTCTCCCAGCACCTCAATTATATGTAAATGTAATCTTGCTCAAATAAGAGATGTCTTTGGTTTGTTTGTTGAATAGAGTCAGACTCCAG